ATTTCTTGTTCTTCTTTCTTCTGCTTCTTTTTTATTACATGATAACTCAAAAACCAAAACAATGGTGTCAACCAATAACAGTAAGTTGACATAGTCTCAAATGGAGTATCCACTTTTATAAGTGTTATTAATAAATAGTAGTAAATTTAAAAAAATCATAATTCCGGTGTAAACAATGTTATCATTTCCCCGTGAAGTTAGCTTTCTTACAGACATTTGCTGTTCCTTTTAAAAGCTTAAAAACCAAGTTATAAATACAACCTTCTTATGTCTATTGAAACACCGTACTAAAAAAACAACAAACAAACAAGTAAAGAAAATCTTTTGAAAAAAGGAAATAAATGTAGGGATGGCTAATATCAATCCTACAAAAACAGTGCAAATAAGACAGTAGGGATGGCATTTGCATCATTTCTACATAATAGCACAGGCACGCAGTGTAGTAGAAAGTTAACAGGTAAAAATAGGATAAAATATACTCAGTTGTGATTAGTAATCATATATGTTGCTATATGTTAAATCTTGCCTGTGCTATTATGTAGGAATGATGCAAATGCCACTCCTACTATCTTGTTTGCATTCTTTTTGAAGGATTGAAATTAGCATTCCTATTTACTTCCTTTTTTGATAAATTTTTCATTACTTATTCGCTTGTTGCTGTTTTTTAATGCAGTATTTCAATATACATAGGAAGGTTGTATTTATAACAAATTCTAAATACAATGAGGTTCCAAGTGTAATATATATTGTTTATTTATTATTATTCGATGACGAGGAACCCACTTTGAGACTAATAATGGCTGGAGACAGCTTGAATGGGTAATGAAGAAAAACTTTAATAACAGCAAATGTACAACGTTTCGACAAGGTTTTGTCATCATCAGGTGATTATGATAAAACCTTGTCGAAACGTTGTGCATTTGCTGTTATTAAAGTTTATCTATTATTAGCTGTTAATTACTGTTTCACCCTGTATTTAAGCTTTTTAAAGGAACACCAAATTTCTGTAAGAAAGCTAACTGCAAGGAGTAATGATAACATTGTTTACACTGGAATTATGATTTTTTTTAAATTTACTACTAGTTATTAATAACACTTATAAAAGTGGATATTCCATTTGAGACTATGTCAACTTACTGTTATTGGTTGACACCATTGGTTTGGTTTTTGAGTTATGTAATAAGCAGAAGAAAGAAGAACAAGAAATTCAAACTTTTTGCTATAATATTTACAGACATTCCCAGAACTTGTGACTGAGTCATAACATAGATATTGTTATAAAAGGAAACAATGTATAGTATTGTAAAGTTCTTATGAACCATTGAAGATATATTTAAAATACCATTTGGTTGAACGATCTGAGTCATCCCTACATAGGCAGTGCTGCCACCTGCCTGACAATATCGGCTTTGAAATGTACAATGTTGAGTAACTGGTCTTAAAAGCAACGGTTATGAAAGATCCAGTATTGTGTAACTTTTACTGTTTACAACGGTTTTGAAAGATCCAGTGTTGTGTAACTTGTACTGTTTACAACGGTTTTGAAAGATCCGGTGTTGTGTAACTTGTACTGTTTACAACGGTTTGGAATTCTTTTGATGTATAATGAATGGCATTAGACGACACAATTTTTGAAAGACCGACTTTCCTCTTAGAAATAAGGTGATTCTATGAGTGAATTAAGTACATTCAGACTGGTGGTATGTGAAGAGCAACGAATAGCTCTAATTTATTGTTATTATTGTTCATTAAACTATCTTACCATCTCACTTTAGGACATAGCGATTACAAAAACAGAGTTTTGTCGGCAAAACCGTTAGGACTCGTTTTTTCTACAGATGTAGCCTCTTTATCTTAAGTGTTAATGTAAGTAAGAAAGATAGTCTTTTTGCATTCTCACTGACGTTTGTGAGACGCCTATAAAGATACGTGGGTTATTTAATGTTTGCTGATAAGCGACTTGTGTGTTGCAGGTTATGGGATGAAGAGACATAGCGGATATTTGGAGGAAGAGTTATTATTCTGTTTTGTTTTAGCTTTGATGTCTCATGAAAGTAAAGGAAACGAAAATAGCATTTCTGTAAACCGCATTTTTAAAGTTTCGAGATTGTCGTGCTATTGGACAAGCGGGAATTTTTTTTCAACAAAATTTCAAATGAAACCTCTGTACAGCTCTAGTGTAATCTGACAACTGGTGTCACTCTCGAGATTTCCACTAGTTCGTTTAAACAAAGTCTAATATGGTAAGTAGTTTTAAGGTTGTGACCTGATATTTACTAGCTAGAGCTACATTCTGTGAGAAGCAAGGTCTGTTGTTGGTGAGTATTTTTTGGGTTGTGACCTGATATTTACTAGCTAGAGCTACATTCTGTGAGAAGCAAGGTTTGTTGTTGGTGAGTATTTTTTTGGTTGTGACCTGATATTTACTAGCTAGAGCTACATTCTGTGAGAAGCAAAGCCTGTTGTTGGTGAATAGTATTTATGGTGTGGCCTGATGATTAATACATTCAGTATGAAATAAGACGTGATGTTGTTAGTTTAAGCTGTGATCTAGTGTTTATTAGCTACAAGAACATTCAGTGTTGAGTAATCACTATTGTTAATAAGAGGAGGGCATGATACTTAATAGCTTTAGATTACGTTGAGCGAAATGCAACCCGCAAAATGTATCGCAAGAATACTCTGGTGTTACACTGTAGATAAATAATGTGACTGTAAGCGAACTGGTACGTCGTTTCGATCGTTGTTTTGTAGAAGAAAGGTTTGTAAGGAAAGGGTAAGACTTAAGTTTGTATTGTGCATCATCTATCCACCGAAAACTCCCCTTTCAAGTTATGGGTTCTAGAACTTGCTTGCAGCTTTTAGCTTATAACAAACGTTCCTACAAATCAGAACTGATAACTTAAGTCATTATAAAGTAGAACTGATAACGCCACCAAGTAGCTCAGCGTTAAGTCTGAAGGTTTATAACGGCAAAAATCGGGTTTCGATATCCATGTTTGGCACATCACAGATAGCCTATTGTGTAGCTTCGTGCTTAAAATCAAACAAACAAATAACTAATAATGAAAGCCTTTATAAAGTAGAGCTGATAAAAATTATTCAAAATTAGAATTGTTAATAAGTCTTTATAAAGTTGAAATATAATATAAATTCTTATATATAGGAACTAATTACACTAGGAGTTATATAACAGAAACTTAATATCAGTCTTTATGAAGTAGAATTGATAACAATCATCCTTGTGAAACAGAACTTCACAGAAGTCGTTGTTTCAAAGTAGGGCTGTAACATTTTCTGTTACTATAGTCCCCCAATGGGTCAGTAGTAAGTTTATGGCTCTGATAGTTTCATACAATAAGTAACAGATTTGACATGTAGTTAATACTAGTTTCCGATAATACCAAACTTCCTATTCAGAATGAAACTAAAAATCAACCCGGTAAGAAGTATAACTAATTAAATATACTTTTCTTACGTACTTACTTAAAAATTATAATGCATTGTTTCATAAGTTGGTTACCCTCGCTGTGAACGACATTTTCGGCCATAAACCCAATAAAATCTAATGAGGTTCGGTCAGCTTAGGAAATTTAGGCTAATTCTGAAAACAATGTTAGCTAATAAAAGTATAATAATAACAATTAAAATGTAAATGAATATATCTAGATTGTTACGTATTACAATTTCAAATAGTCTAAAACTGAATTAAATTGTAATTTAGATTTAGTAGTTAACTATTTGCTGATATATCTCCAATTTATGATATTTGCCAACAAGATTGATATACAGCTTCATTTTTTTTATATACAAATATGTTTTAATATATAAACAATAATACAATTTACAATAACAGTTATTGCAAATAGTTATTACAAACAATGATTTATATACAAAAGTTTTACAAACTTACAAGCAATATAAAGTCATCTTTCTAGTCTGAAACTTCCTCGGTATCTTATCGAGAGTTGGCGATGAGCGAGTTAATTTCGATCGCAGTTCGAGCTTGAGTTTTTTACCACTTAAGTTATATGATGTCTTCATAAAAGTACTAATGTCCGATGTGAATCCACTGAAGTTAAATGGTTTATAATGTTCGAAATATCTGGTTAAATCTCTGAAGTTTTCCGATTAATAAGCGTTAATCACAATTATAGCTTCCGAGGTTGATAGTACACCAACTATAGCAAATAAATGATATATACTGTTTTTTAGGTGCGTCACGTTGGTTATATTTATAGGTGTGTGGAGAGTTTCTCGAAAATTCAGATTACGTAACAATACAAAACTACACTAGTGTTTACGTACACACATATATATTGTTGATTTTTACACTCGAGAAATCTGTTAATACTTTAGAGAATAGGCGGGAGTTTCGCAATACATATTTAACAGTATACGTTACGTACATTTCTAAATATAAATTTAATTTAAACAAATATCTATATTAATATATATATATATATATATATATTAATATATCCGTCACATAGATATATTTAATATTTCAACAAACACTGACAATAAAAATGATAATAAAGAAACAATAAAGTGTACCTCATTTGCGGTACACAAAAATATAGTGTACAAGAAGGACTTTCCACTACCTTCCCTATATTCGTTATACAGAAGTGCATTTATTATTGGTTGTTCACTATTTGGTTATGAGATAAAAAAAATAATGTTGTGTTAGTGTTAATGTTGAGTTAGATATTATACATTATTTGCTGTATAATTGTGGTAGGAAAATCAATATTAAGCTACTTATTGTATTGTTGTGGCAAATAATAAGTGTTATTGTTTACTACACAGATGTTTCAGATCAACAATATTAAGTTACTGGCTATTGTTTACAAACCACACAGTTTTGATATTAAATCAATGCTAATTACCTGATGGGTTTTAATTATACAGCTGAAATATAACGACATTAATAATGTATGAGACAACCTTACAATTATTAAACAACAGTTTATATTTTAACTTAAACTATTTGTTCAAAAAAATAACAGCTAGTATCGTGATATGGATTCAGAGGTGCAACCGTTGCTGTGCATATACATAATGTTTTTAATTAAAAGTATACCAAACCTTTTCGTATATTTTAAATAAAGAGCCTCCCCAGGATCTTAAAAAACTAAGCTTAGATGATAGATGAGTTGAAATTAGGAAAACCAGATATTTTTATAATTCATCTAGTAACTTTACCCTTTCCATTCTCTGCTAGGAGTGACGCTCTGGCAGTTGGAGACTACTTAATCTCTGTAAACGGGATTCGTACCAACAATCTTTGTCATGACGAAATCGTAAATCTACTGATGAACGCTGGAGATACGGTTACTCTAGAGGTAGAGTACGAAAACCCGATTGCAAGTAAGGATGTTGGAATGATGTTACCCAAATCATTTGGTCTATAGGGAATTGGAATGATGCTAACTAAATCATTTGGTCTATAGGGAATTGGAATGATGCTAACTAAATCATTTGGTCTATAAGGGATTGATAACTAAACCAATTGGCCTATAAGAGATTTGAATGATGCTAAATAAAATTAGGTATGCAAGGGATGTGAATGACGTTAACCTAACTATTAGCCTTACACTTAAATTATGTTTGTCAAACTAACTATCTGTTACTTGGATCTAAGAGGCTCACTATTTTCTTCATTATTGACCATTCTTCCACTGTATACCAGTCTATCTGTTACCTCAAATTACCTAATCACCCACCCTATTAACTAAGTATTATTCACTATTGTATCTAACTAACCACAAGTATTCGGGATTCTACCTATTACCAAGATAAATCTGTTTATTAATTAGATTTGCAGAGTATTCATTCTTCTATTAAGTCCCCATTGCTCTAGAACTTGGCTTGCTAAACTAAACTTTCCTACTCTTAATCAGACACCGTTGACGAGTTTTTCGTACCTCGTAATTTTCCCTGTACTTGAAGATTGTTTTTGTTTTCTCTCCTTTATTTTATTACTGTAGTGCCACATATTTAGTTAAAATGAGTTTCTTTGTTCTTGTGTTACTTTGGATGAGCTTTGTTGCTGATGAGCTGACTTTTAAGAACTCGTTTAACACGTCTGTACTGATTATAAATTATCTCCATACGTCAGTCTTGGACTGATGTGGAAGTACACAGTATGTTTTGATTGTTTGTAGTATTTTAGAACAAATACGTATTAACATTACAATAACTGATGCTTGAAACCAACAGCAAGCAATGTCTTGTCAAGCCCAAAAAATAGCACTTACTGTATTACGGATAGCATATAAAACCCATAGAAACAGTATCTTTTGTATTACAGATATCATATAAAGACCATAGAAACAGTATCTTTTATATTAAAGATATCATATAAAGCCCATAGCAACAGTACCTGCTGTATTGTATATATCATATAAAGCCCATGAAAACAGTACCTTCTGTATTACAGATATCACATAAAGCCCATGGAAACAGTATTTTCTGTATTGTATATGTATCATATAAAGCCCATGGAAATAGCACCTACTGTTTTAAGGATAAAATATAAAGTCCTAAAAACTATATAAATGTTATGAGTAGCACACATCATGTGATGCTTAAAATTAATTCAAACCCACAACTCTGCTCTCCAAGAGAATCCTATAACCAGTTAATTAAACTACCACGTCCGTACAAACTCATAAGCCTCGCAGCAATCTAAATGTAATTACACAGTCGGTTAATGAAAATGTCTAACAACAAGTAAAGAGTTGGACTCGAATACTTCTCCGGCCTAAGTTTTCACTCCTCCAAAGTAATTTTTAAAACACGAAATGTAAACAATAATGCTAAAAAAACATCAGTACAGTACGAAATATTCTAACAATGAGCTCTTCTCTGCTGAATTTGTATGTAACTCCCACTGAACACTGATGTCTACGATTTATTAAGATCAACATCTGCCACAGACAAACTTTTGAAGTTAAGACGCCACAAGGAAAGGAGCTCTCGGACCTTAAAAAAAGTTAAGTTTATTGGATGCAGTATGAGTGGTATGACTGCCCTACTCATATTTAGTGCAGACAGTCCGATGGCCACTGGCATGGTATTTTAGAATACCGGCATTCCCCGATGTATCCAAACTTTGAAAGGAAAAATAATATCACATCCTTAGCACTGTATTCCTCACCTAGAACTGCTGCTGGACTTCATTGACTAGTCATAGCTCACAACAGCTATGAATATAATGGGTCGGCTCTTATTTGCTTTGAGTGCTAAAATTGGAGTGAGAAACAATGGATTAGAATCATGCATCTTTCTAACTATTTTCTTTGAATTATTGGTTGTGAGTTTGACTTCAACCTGAAGAACATCTTGGACGTAATTGTTTTACCACAGATGTAAATTATAGTGAAGATAGTATTATGGTGTTGGCCTGTTTTGGATGATTTGGTTCAATCTACCGGTAATGACCAAAGAAGTGACCAGAGCCTTGTCGTACCATGACATTTTGAAAAATGATGTAAATTGCTGGAATTCGATGGATCATTTTCATAATTCAACTTGATCATGTAAAATTCAAACCATGTCTATCAGTGATTTGATATAAATAATGTTTAAAATTTGTCTTGGGCAACTGAGTTCCTTGTTCTAAACCCAATTAAACCACGTTGAAACACTGTGAAATCTTACCCGAGGGACAAGAAATACAAGTTCCGAAATCCCTTACATTTGGAGCAGTTTTGCTAAAGAGTGATGGTCTTTTTAATTAGATTGTACCAAATACCTTAAGTCTCTTAGAGCTTTTCTGAAAGTACTTATACACATGTTTAAATAAACAAAACAATATAAATAAGTAAACAGAAGTAAAGCGCCTTCACTTAACGAAAAACAAAGAAACTGAATTTATTTCCAACGTTTCGGCCATAGGCCTACTACACCTTTCCGTTAGTAACATATGTAGATGACACGACAACAATAAGTAACAATAGAATATTGACGTTAGTAGTCAAGAGGGCGCTGTAAGTCGAAGAGCAATGAAGCTGAGCGTAATGTACGCATGCTAATATGCATAGTTTACTGTACATCTACTTACGAAAATTAATAAACAAAGAAATATAATCATTAACACAGAGGTACAGAATAAGAACTTGCAACAAGTGTGAAATCTCTTCCCATTATTTGTATCAAGATTATTATTTATTTATTTGCTATAAAAGGTAAATCGGATAATGTTGGTTCCCGAGTGATGTTGTTCATAATGAATTCCAAAATGTAAGTTGGTTTCTTGAATCCACAGCATTATCCATTATGCAGTTTTGGATTTGTATCTTGTTTTATATGTATTAGGTCGCCAAGAAATTAATGTCGCTTTTTTTAGATTAAAAAAACCCGAACAACTTATATATCAAAACAAAACATTTATTAAATGAAATAGTCTCCATTCTTATCGATGATGCTTTTCCATCTTACAATCAGGTTGTTATTGCACTGATTAAAGAAATCACTTGGCTTTGAAGCAAAACACATGTCGATGTCACATGTGGACGTGCATTGTCGTGGGAAGAAGAACACCTTTCCGATTGACGAGTGAAGGGCGTTTCTGATGAAGGGCTTGGTTTAAACGTTTCAGTTGCTGACTATATATACCTGCATTGACGTTTCGCTGTGAATTGAAGAGTTCGAAATGAATTCATCCTT